CTGATCTGCCTCACCCGGGAAGAGCGCAATGATGGTGCCAACTTGGGCCAGTGAAGCAACATCCTCCACAACTAGACTGAAGAACAAAACGACAGAAACTTCTCTGTTCCCCTTCCCTCAACTCCCCAACAAAAATCTTTAAAAAAATGTATTTTTACATAATTAACCAGTATGTGAATAATATCCTTTAAAAATTTTATAAGTGAAACTATGATAGTTTTATTTTCATTTTCAATTTTACTTGAGCCACAGTTTGTGAGCCGCAGTTTGCTGACCCCTGGTGGCTTTGTCCTCTCAAAAGTTTGCCGATCCCAGTCCTAGAGAGCCAGAACCAAAGTTCAACTGAGCAAAAATAAATGTGTGGCAGAATGGTACGTTCTTCCCTCTGAATTCAGAGGAACAACTCACTGAAAGAGAAATACAAAGGACCAAAGAGAACAACTAGACAGGCTTCCAGCATCCGACCTACAACTTATTCCTCTTGGGGGGGAGGGGGGGCAACCTTAGAACTAACAACAGTTTGAACTTTAATATTATGATGATTTCTTGGGAAGGAAACTACATTAGCACTTCATTATAATCCTCTCTTTACTATGCAACATAAAGCAAATAACTTACCTATCTTATTGGGATCATCTCCAGGTTTATTTTGAATAAGAAGGTTTTTAGTAGGAAAAACTTGCAGCCCACTGGCTCCTCCAGCGAAGACCAGGCCATACTTGTTGGACACAGCAAGCAGATTTGAGCGCTCCTTGGGCAACTCCTCCGGGGAGTCAAAGATTCTCACTTTTTTCAGTGCTCTAAACTGAAAATCCTGTTGTGAGGGATCAAAACAAGATCAATTCAGGGAAAACAGAAAATTAAATCTTGTCTGTCATCATATTACAGTACATCCAATTCCGGTACAACGAAAATACATATTACCCTGAGGCCAAGAACTGTATGCCTCCATCACTTTTAAGCTTCCTGTGAGTATTGTGGTACCTGGTATAGCGCTTATTAATATTTACTCAATGGAATAAATTTTTAAAGATTCTTTCATGAAGCCTTCCTTGACTCACACTGACCTTTTCCTTTTCTGAATTTCTAGTTTATTGTCTCAACCACCACACAAACTGCACTTTATTATTTATAACCTTGTCCTATTTCATGGTATGTATTGTGTCATGACCCAGAGTAGTGCTTTAAAAACTGTTAAATATTCAAAGCATCATCCAATTACACTGTAAGCTCAAACTTCTAGTGCAGTACTCAACGTGTGTGTGTGTGTGTGTGTGTGTGTGTGTGTGTGTAAATAATGACCACAGAAAGATAACCAAATCCCAAGAAATGACTTACCTGCATCAAATGTTAAACCCAAAAAGGAGATGTATGGTCAATCTCTTGGTGTTCAAGACTTACAAACATACCTGGATGCCATGAGGACATCGAAACACAAGTCCAAAACCCTTAACACAGGCTGGAGGGCCAGGCACGGCTTGATCCATTCACCTCCGCAGGCTCACCTCACAACACTGCTTCCCTTCTACAAGTGCGACATCACCTCTGCCACAACCAGTGGCACCTCCAGCCCCTGCCTATTTCCAGTTTTCACTTCCTTCCATTTTCATGCTCCTTAGTACGTTCAGGGCCTGGGGGCCTTCCTCAACCTCCTGTCAATGCCTGACTCGCCTCATCTTCCATGAATTTATCTATATGCTTTCCAAGACAATTTGCAGCGTGCTGAACCTCTTGGTAAAAAGAGTTCCGTAAGTTTACCAAATCACTGTTAAGGTGTACTATATATGGTTGAATTTTTTTCTTCAATTATAAACCTATCCTTAAGTTGAAGTTTGGGTGAAAAGAATGTGAATCGCCTTTTGCTTACATTCCAAAACTGTAAAAGCCAAAGGCAGCCTTTCTCAGCCTTCACTTTTGTACACTTACGGTGCTTCATACAAACACCATAGGATCCCTAACAAACCCCACATATAAGTTTCCTTGGATTAGATGTTTAATGCATATTTGCTAAAAGACTGACTGAAATAAACTCTTAATTCCAACTGAGTACGATGATAAAAAATACACACATGGCTTTCCAGGTGGAACCATATTACGGTTTCATACAGAAATAGAATACAATTTTTCAGTCTTTTTTTGTGATTCTCATGCCAATAATCCCAAATATCCCATTTGGGTCTTGGTCACATGGGGTGGAGGGCCAGTGAGATGAAAAGGCACAAGCGTGCTCCCCTTTCTGTTGTAATCAATAACTTAAAGGGGCACTATCATCTTCTAAGCCTGTGGTTCCAAAGCCTTTTTCTCCTTCAGCCCCAGGATATGTGAGGAATACGGCACATTCTCATTGGGTGGCTCACTCAGGCAGCGATTCTCAAGGAGGAGGAGTCACTACTACCTAAACGCACGTCAGTGATTTGCTGTTCAAATGCCTAACATCTTCCCCCAACTTACTCCCTTATGACCATCATTGGGGTCACCTGCCCCCTCTTTAGTTTCCTGACTTCAGGCAGACTTCCAGTACCAAAGGAGTCCTCCTATTCTAATTAACTAAAGATCGTTGTAGGATCGGTGGCGAACCCTGACTCTGCGTTAGGCCAGCCCCGACCACCTTACAGAAGTAGTACAATGAGAATGAAGGAAAAGTCTTACAAAAAACACCTGGATTACAGCCACCTTGTCAAATGTGACTTTGGGTAAGTTACCTTCCGAACCTTGAAAGTAGTGTGTGCCTGGCACACAGTAAACGCTCAATAAACAGCAGTTATTATCGTTACTCCGACCACCACATGAAAGTCGCTAGAGTAACTGACGTGGTGCGCACAAGACCAACGAGGGACGGGGAAGCTGCGTTCGGCGGGGCTAACACGCGGGCGGCACCGCAGAGTGCTCCAGGACGCGCAGGTGAGAGCTCTGAACGCCGCAAAAGTTCAAGCGGGAGGCGGGGCAGCCGGCACCCGCGCTTCGCCGTTTAGTGGGACTCCAAGGCAAAGCGAAGGCCCCGGCCAGTATCTGACCTTCATTTCCCGCTCGGGAATCATGGCATCCATCTCGTCTCCCATCGCGCCGGGATCAGCTGGTCCAAGCAGCAGCCGCAGCTGCCCACGGCCTTGCCCGCAAAGCCCAGGCCGCTCCGACTCCAACTTCCTTCTTTCAGAGCTAACGGCGCGCAGCGGTCCCCGAATTTCCGGCGCGCATTGATAGCGTCACTCATTTCAGTGGGCGTTGTGGTTCGAGGAGGCGGAGGGAGTAGGTGAAGTCGCGCCTTCTCCTGGCCGCCGCCTCCCATTGGCCGGCTCGGCCGGCGCGCCTGCGTCCTGGAGCGTCCAGGCCCCGCCCCCGGGTCCGCAGCTAGAATGGGCTGGCTTCGTGTCGGCGTCTTGTGTTGGAACGTGCAGGCTTGAGCGTCTGGTGCTTAGTGGTCGCTTGAGACCCCCCACAGTAACTCTTGGATGTAGGTTGGTCGTTAATAGCTCTCGATCCGGGGAAGTTAGGACTTGAGAAGTATTTCCAGGGGCAACTCTTGAGAGAGGCTTTGGAGGGCGCTGTGGAGGAAAAGAGGTTCAGAAAGTGGGTGGGGCGGGGCCTCGCCACGGGAGACTCCTGCCCCGGGAGACTCCTGCGTCTAAGCACGAACGCTGAAAGGGGAGGCTAACGGGCACCAGAGATCTCTTTGTTTACTCCTTCCAAAGTAATCATTTCCGAAGCGAGAGCCTGGAAACCGCAAAAACACTTTGGATGTGTTTTTCCTGCAAGACATCTAGTCACTTAGGAGTTATTATTGCCATTTAATTGATGGGGTAGCTGGAAGCACAGGGAAGTTATGAAAACTACCCAGCGCCCCTTGGTCAGGAAGTGGTGGGGGCAGGATTAGACTTCTGCTTGTCTGGGTATGCTAATTGATGACTATTATGTACAGATCTCTGTAGTGGATTTATATTAAAGGCTCTAGAACAGGGGTTCTTAACTTGAAGCAGGGGCAGGGGGCATATCCTGCCACTTAACTGTTTGGTTTTCAGCAAATTGTGCATCTGCGCCAAGCCTGCTTCTCATTTATAAAACAAGGTTGACAGATAGAACCTGCCTCGTGGGGTTGTTGTGAGAAGTAAATGAAGTCAGTGTTTAACCGAGCCTGGTACACAGGACATGTTCATTCAGTGTTACCGTTATCTAGCTTTTCTGAATTTGCCGAGTCCCAGAACCCCAAACACACCAATCAAGACATTGATAGTTTGTCTGTTTTATTTCCAGTATGCAGAGATGATATCTGGCACCACACACTCTCATACACACGCACACACATACAACATCCACTTGAACTTGCCCAACACACACTCCTTCCTTTCTGAGTTGCAGGGACAAAGCCACACTTGGCAATCCCCAAGTTTCTGGTTACATTAGTTAGATTTGGTCTTTCAGAAAGATAGCTAAAGTTCTAAGAAAGTGAGCCCTTAGCCAGAGAAGTAAGAGTCCCAGGGCCAATAGCCACAACCTGAAATATATGCAAGACCCCCCTTTCCAGAAACCACTCTTGAGCCACTCTCCCTCCAGGACCGACTGGAGTTCCAAGAAATGGTGAAGGAACTTGGGTGGTTTCTCATGATGCTCCTAGCCAATGGAAGCGCTCTGTCCTGCCCTTTCCAGAATCTGGGGACACACCCACTTGCTCTCCCTTAAGGAGGCTTCCTGTGGTCTTGTAAACTATGGAAGCTGTTGAAATAAGCCTGGTTGGTTGTGCCCTCCTCTCTGAGTGAGGATCAAGTGCCCTGACTATGATGGGGAGTCAAGACTACCTTGCTCAAAGGTCTCATCGTGTCCTAGAGAGGTGGGCGAGGTAGTGGGAAGGGGTGTGGACAGGCAGTTACTCAAGTAGGGAGCTTGGGAGGAAAAAAACCCAAGGCAGGAAGGGGGTGGGGTGAGATTTTACATTTACAGAGAAAATTGTTTTGCTAGGGTTTAAACTTCAACTAGGCATGTGCATTTGAGCAGCTCCTTCGCCTAAAGATCAACCAGTCACGGCCAAATAGTCTTGCTCCTGAACTGGCTGAGACCAGCGAATGAACCCAACCTGGCCCTTTTCCCATCCCCTATCTGCTCCACTCCCTTCAGCTGCTGTCAGGCAACTCCCTGAGCCCTTGATCATGGCCCACTGAGGAGCCACAGAGAGCCCACACCGGCTCCAAGAGTACCTACACATTTCCATTTAAGGTTTGGCAAATGCTCCTCCAAGGCTCTGGCTCAGTCTTGAGCCCATCTTGGCCTCCCCAGGATGGCGGTGCAGTCACCCCATAGCCCCTCCTTCATTTCGTCTCCCTCGTCCTTGTCCGAGTCTGACTTTCTCACTAGACTCTTAAATGTCATGTATCTATTTCATGACTGGGTTCTTAGCTCTTGGCCCATAGCAGGTGCTTAATAAATATGCTCAATTGATGACTGCATCTAAGTCCTGAGCTGGCAGGGTCAAGTGGGGTCCAGGCTGAGGTCCCTGCTCAGCCAAGATGGGGCCGCGTGTGACACCTTCCTGCATGAGTTCTAAGTGGCTTCGCTGAGAAGCTCTAGGGAAGGCAGAACTGCAGAGGCAGGCCTGGCCCTTACCCAAACCCTGATGCTGGCGCAGAGGCACTGGGAAAGGTGAGTCCTGGCCCGGGGCCTTCCCCAAGTGCTGTCCTAGGAAACGGCCTCTCCCTGCCCCTTCCCTTGTTTTCATGACTGACAGAAGCAGCCCCAAGCAGAGAGGAAACATGGGCAGGGCATCTGAACACCTGGGCTTCAGTCCAGACTCTTCCATCTCCAGATTAACTCCTGACCTTGGGCAAGGCAATTAATCCCTGGGGGCCACCAGTTTCCTCACCTGTGAAATGAGAGGACTGGCCCAGCTAACCTACAAGGTGGATCAGGGCTCTAAAACCCTGAGTCCGTAATAAGGGACACAGGTGACCCCAATCTAATCCCCAAGCTCAAGGTTTTGGGTGGTTTGGAAACAGATGAGTTAGTGACAGTGGACACAGCACATGGCAGGACAAAGTGGGGGGGGTGGGCTTAAAGCTTATGATAGATGGTCAATAAATATCTGTTGAATGACTGAGTGAATGAATGAATGGTCTGAGTAAGGTGGGAAGGTGAATGGGGGAAGCAGTCAGTTTTCAAGCCGACTGGGATCAGAAAGGCAGATCCCTATTTCTCAGTTCTTGGCTTAACAGTGGTGCTGACATTTTGCCGTGAGCATTTTCTTCCTCCTTCTAGCCTGTTGCCCTCAGCATCTTCCCTAAAAAGTGGGACTAGACTGAGCTGAACCCCCCTCCCCAAGGCCCCTGTCCTCCCCTCTACCTCTGAAGCCCTCTGCGGCCCCGGCAAGGGACAGAGCACCCTCTGAGCTATCTGTAAAGGTGTGGCCAAGGGCTAAGGCCGGAAGATTCCTTCCAGAACCTTCTTGAGGGTCTCCAATCGCCACCCCCCCCCATTCTCCTGTCACCTCATTAAGGACGGGAAGTGTGGCCTGAGTGGGGATCAGCTGGGGCATGGGGCAGCGAGTGGCCACGTCCTGGACAACCTGAGAGTACTGGGACCTCAGAGTGTCTGAGGAAACCCTAGCAAGGCCCTGCAGCCTCATCCCTACCCCAGGGTCTTCTGAAAGTGGGCTGAGGTCCTCACCAGGGCCCGGCCAGTGAGCCTGGACTTAGCTCAGCGACCTCCAGGAAGGATGGACAATGCCGGCTCCAAGCATGGGGATCACAGGCTTCCAGCCTCCCTGCCCTGGCCCTGCCACTTCCGGTTTTTGGTTTGATGTCAGCCCTTCTGCACAGGGAGTGGGGAAGGAAGGAAGAGAGGAGGGCCCCCAGAGCCCCTTTAAGGCAGATAATTTGTGCTTTACGAAGAGATCAGATTCTGCAGGTGAAAAAACAAACATGTCCAACAACGGGGAAAAAAAAAAAAGACATCGCAATGAGTCCAGAAGTACAATGAGATGAGGAGGGAGGGGCGGGGCAGGGAGGGGCGGGGCAGGTCCCGGCTGGGTCCTCAGGGCAGGCTGGCAATGTCTCTCTCTGGAGGGGGACCGGCTGGCTTGGGGCTGTTCTCGTTGGCTTTTCCTTCAAACATCATGACTCTGGTTTGGAGATGGAGAAAAAAACAAAATGGATTGAGATTAGGATTCCTCCCCTCATCCAGGGAAAGCTCACCCAGCCCTCACATCCACAAGGTCCTGAGCAGAATGCCTTTTGTCCATTCTCCAGTGGGATCTTCTCGGAAGCCCAGGACGGCAGCTACGTGGAAGAGGCTCCTAGTCCCGTTTTACAGAGGAGAAAACTCAGGCGCAAAGTGGTGATGTGACTCCTTGGAGCCACACAAGCAGTCCAAGCAGGACGAGCCCGGATCTCTGACTTCCAGGCCATGCGCCTTCCCCTAACCACGCTGCCTGGAGGAAGTGGAGCTAGGCTGGCCCCCGGATCTGCTCAAAACCCCTTCGGGTCTTCAAAACCTCCCACTGCTCTAAGGGTAAAGTCAGGGGTTCATGGTGTAGCCTCCGGAGGGAAGCAGCCTGGATTTGAGTCCCAGCCCTACAAATGTCCCAGCTGGTGACTCCAGGGAGACATTTAACCCCACTGATGCTGTGTTTCCATCTGGAAGTGAGGGTGCCAGAAGTGTTTATGTCTGGGAGCTGTTCCAAGCATCCATGCTCTACTCCATCTATAGTCATTCCCTGGGCGGGCGCTTCCAGTCCCCTTGCTTTATATCCCATCCAAAGGGTGACAGCCCACAAACAGCTTATCTCTGAGCTCCAGATTTGTACATCCAGCCCCCTCCTCCCCTCCCCTCTCCCCTTGGATGTCTGAAGGGCACTTCTGCTGTAGCACATCAAAAACTGAATTCTTAAATCCCACCTTCCCGTCTAAGCAAACATGACGGTCACTCACTCAGTTACTCAGACTTTAGAATCATCGGACTCTGTTTTCCTTTACACCCCACATCTGGGCATTTAAGAAATGCTTCCAGCTCTACCTCCAAAATCACTCTCAATTCCATCAGCTCCGGCCCCCCTCCACTGCAGCTTCTCCAGGTGAGCGGCCTCATCTCTTACCTATACAGCCTCCCTGCTGCCACTCTCGTCCCTGCCGCAGCCAGAGGGGGCCTTTTAAAAGTCAGCCCCTAGCTTAGAATACTCCAATGGCAGCCCTTCACATTAGTACAAAATATTAAGGCCCCGTGGGGCTGCTACAAGGCCCCATGTCCTCTGGGCCCTGCCCGTCTCTGCTGCCATCCTTCACTCGTGGTACTTACTGATGGCCTAGACCCACTGGCCTCTGTGCTGTTCCTTGAGCATTCAAGCACGATTCTGCCTCAGAGCCTTTGCACGTGCCATGTCCTCTGCCTGGAATGCTTTTCCCCAGATCTTCACACGGCTCATCTCTTCCCTTCTCTCACTCAGGGCTCTGGTCAAATGTCACCTTCTCAGTGACACCTTCCCTGCCCCATCCTATCCCTGTCCGTTCCTCTTGCCTACTTTATTTTTCTTTGTACTACACTATTGCAATTTGGTGTTTGGGTTTGTTTTGTCTGTCTCCTGCCATTAGAATGCAAGCTCGACGAGGCAGGCCAGCAACTCATGTCCCCAGCATCCAGGATAATTCCTGGTGTTTGGTGGTGCTCAGTAAACATTTGCTGAATTAATAAATGCTAAATCTAAGGAGTCAAGACACAGACGAGTCCCTGATACATAGTAAATGTCCACGAAATCTTCAGTGTCATTTTTATAGCACCATCATTCCGATTGCCACCACCTGGCCTCTGCAGTGTGGTCTGACCTTGCAAGTTTTCCCACCACACCTCCTGCCCCGTCCCACCCACACGAAAAGCTCTGACCAGCCCAAACTGTGGGCTCATGAGCCGTTTACTCAGCTTCCTGGGGCCTCAATTTTCCCTTTTGTAAAATCAAACAAGCGTATTTGATATTTGTACATTTGAAAAAATAAAGGAATCTTATTTTCTAAAAGCCGAGTAAGGCCCTTTTTGGCTCAAGTACCATGAGACCCTCCAGGGAATTTCTCTGCAGCTCCTCGGTGGGGAAATACCTACATACAGAGGGTGATTTTGGCCACCATGTACCAGGTGTGTGCCATCAGCCAGATACCGGGCTAGACTCTTCATTTGTGTTAAGTCATTAACCCTCCGGACAACGCTTCACGGAAGATATTTACTATATCTCTGTCTTTCAGATGAACAGCGTAAGATTCAAACTCCACCTCCCTGTAGAGCCAGTTTTTAACTTGACGCTATGCTTACAACCCCGTGGGGTAGCAGAGTCACTTTACAAATGAGGAAACTGAGGTCCAGCAAGTTTCACCAGTAGATTTATCACCATCACAGTTGCCGCTTACTGAACAGATTCCACCAGACCTTCCACTACCGGCGAATTTCGCCTGCAAGTTACATATTAACATGACCATTCGACAGATAAGGAAATCAGGTTCAGAGAAAGAAGTTAGTTAGGAAGTTTGCCCAGTGGGTCACACAATCCTGGCTGGGGAATGGCTGGGGTGCCCGCGCCAGGGGCCTCTCCACACACAATGCCTTCAGAGGCCCCAGGACAGGCAGGGAGGCACTTACAGCTTGAGGACAGCGGACCGTTTCCCCAGCATCATGTTCACAAAGTCCCGGTAGGAGATGGTGTCGCTGACCCCACCTGTCACCTCCGAAATCATCTTCTTCATCTCCAGGTGGGTCTTGGGGACCCCAAGCTTCTCCATCATCCTCTTTAAAGACATCAGATCTGCCGGAGGAAAAGCAGGTCCTTTAAGTGGAGACAGGAGACGGGGGCGAGTGGGAAGCTGGCACAGCTCCCTCGGGCACCCCATGCCCAAAAAAGTCCAGCAGGACAGCCCCTCCCTGGAGACTGCAGCCAATGGCCTTTTTCCTCTAGGGAGAATGGGCCCACCACACACCCCTCCTCCCTTCGGAGGCAGTAGAGACTAACCATTAGGGACAGGGGCTTCTAGCGTCAGACAGCCAGTTTGGAATCCAGCTCTGCTATTTCTGGCTGTGGGACTCGGGGCAAACTATACTTAACCTCTCTGAACCCCTGCTCCCATCAATAGTTAAATGGAAGGGACGATGCACAAAACGCATGTGGCACAAAGCAGGTGCACAGTGAAGGAACCACTATTCTTGACTGTTGTTATCTCTGCTGCTTCCTGCGGTTAAAGGAGTCATGGGTCCGCTGCCCAGCTACCCAGGAAGTCACTGCCCAGTGAGGTGGGGTCAGGGAGTTGGTCTGAACGCAGGCACCTAAAGTCACTCTCCAGGGTGCCCGTCTGTCACTCCCACCCTGCAGTCCTAGGGCTCCACATTGGCCAGAAGAGAGAGAGTGACGAAAATATCCTGCAGGGCAGGAAAACCAACAAAAGAACAAAATTCAAGAAAAACAAGGGAGGCACCAAAAAGCCAGTACACCCTGATGAGTTGCTGCCTCTGACCGCCAGGCTCCCAAGATCTGAGGCAATTTCCTTCAGATTGTTCCATGAACAATGGGACAGCAAAGGATGGCGGGAAAGAGGGCGCCGCAGGGGGCTGATTTTAGGGCCAAGCGGTGGTGCGCCAGCTCACCCGAGAGGCACAGCAGGCAGGACGGGTGCCAGGCCCCTAGGTGCCAGGATGTCCAGGGCATTTCAAAGAAAGCTGGGCAGCTTTCTGCAGGAAGAAGTGAAAGGTCTCCCACGAGCTCCTGGCCAGACTCTAAGTTGGCAAGACCTTTCTGGAAGGCCATTTGGCAAGGTGCTTCCCAGGCTTCTGACCCAAATGTCTAATTCCTGAGATTTACTCTAAAGAAATAATCGGTGACGTGGACCAAGATTCATATGCAAAGCTGTTCTTCACAGGACACTATGGACACAGGACTTCATAGGACACTATCAATGACACTGAGGTGTTTGCCGAGTAAATTCTAGTCTGTCCCTTCAATGGGACACTATGAGCCATTAATTATATCTCAAAAGAAAAGTTTATCACATTCAAAATACTCATAATAGGTTCTTTTCTTTTTTTTTAAAAAAAGGAGGTTCTAAAATGGTATCAAACAGCATTTGTGATTGGAACAAAGAGTGGAAGGACATAAATTAAAATGCTGATAGCAGTTCTTTCTGGGAGGTGGGACTGTGGGTATTTTTGTATTTTTGTCTTTGTGCTTTGCTGTGCTTTCCAAAAATTTTTATGATGAAGATGTATTAACTTGATACCGCCCCTCCCCCCCAATTTTTTTCTAAAGAATAAAAATATTCAAAAGGGAGAAGAATGAGAGGACATAGGAGGAG